CTTGTACTATGCCTTGAAACCATGTTTTCCACTTTTCTTCAAAATCAAGTAACATAGGCATAACTCTATATCTCGTACTTTTGACCACCTCAAGTGATGGAACCTTTTTGATATAACTATACAAGTTATTTGCAAGCTAACACACGAGATTAGAAGCTCTTAAACACTCCAAAATTCCCTCAATCCAAAAATTGCATAAAACTTCCATTTCTGTGTCATTTCTGACTTTGTACTTCAATCTTCAAAACCACTCGTGCATTTCTTGGCCTTTTAGTTTCAAAAGCTTCCTCACATCAAATACAAACCATCCATGTCCCTGTTTGCAGAGTGTAACATAATCTTCATCAACTTCCATAGCCAAAAACAGAGCATTGCAGTTGGACTTCTCCAGACCATTCCAGCCACTCTCAACTCAAGTTAAGCATTGCATTAGCTTCCTAGAGACTCAAGGAAGCTAACCTAATCATTGCAGAACCTTGAATCAAGCTCAAACTCATTTCACGATTTCCAGTTTTGAGGTATTTTTCTTGAACTTCCATCTTCATATTTAGGCATTGTTAGGCTTGCATTTGTGAAGATAAAATATAGACATCGTTGCCCTGAAACTATACATGTCCATAGATTTCATTTATGTTGCTTGAGTAGGGAGAATTTTGAGTTTGAACTTCTGAAAATATTTAGGTCAGAATTTGGTATTGTTAGAAATTCATGTTCATCTTTGAGAATTAGCTTAAGTTATTTACATATTCAGAATCGTGAGGAAATTTCTAAAAAGTTTGATGTTGGAAGTTTTGTAAATGGATGAGAAATGAATAAGTTACAGATCCTTTGGCTGGAGGTTGAAGATGAAGTACATTCAGGGCAAGATTTATGTTACATATTTATTGTTTTGTTTAAGTTAACGGATGTATCACCACTCCAGTGGTTAAAGCGCGCGCCTGTCACCTTAGAGACCTGGGTTCGAGCCCCAGTGGTACCCTTTTGCTTATTTTTTTCCCACATTTTCCCCATCTTTTGCTTGAATCAGCGCGCCTGGGCCTTCCCCTCCTGGGCCTTGTGCTTTTTTACTCAATCTGACCCCCTGATTGCCATAACAACACAGTCCATTTCACATTTTTTATTTTTCTCTTTGATCTGACCAAAAATCATATTAGGCCCCAAATTAAAACAAAACTGTTCTACTTCCATACACCTTAAATAAATTTCACACCCTCCTAGCTTTTATTTTATTTTCTTATCTTATTTTCTTTTTAATATTATTATTATTTTTATTTTTATTAGTAAAAAATCTCAAAAAATATTTTTATTATTTATATATTAATATACTTTTATTTCATTAAGACAAAAGACCAAAAATATTTTCTTATTATAAATTTAATTTCTTTTCTAAATATTAGACCTAGGTTTTAATTTATTTTAATTAAATTAACTTAGAATTTGGATTTTCTTTTAATTAATTTTTATACTAGTTTAATTAAATAAAAACCTTTTTTTTCATAAAAAATCCTAAAAACAATTTCTTGATTAAATTTATTTTATTTTCTTAATTAATTATGGTTTAATTTTCTTAATTTAATTAATTATTTCTTTTAGTTAATTAGGTCAAAACCAAACCCTTTCATGAAAACCAAACAAAAATCATTTCTTTTTCCATTTGCATTTGTACATTATTTATTCAATTATTGGACATTTATTCAATATGGTTGTAATAGTTAATTAGATTTAGTTTTCTTGCAAAATCACTATTTGTAAATTTGTATACCCCCCTAATGATGTAATATCTTAGTATTTTTACTTTCCGTAATTTATCGCTTTATATAAATGCTAGTAAGTTAGGGTTTGTATGAAAAGATTAAAATCAACAAGTTAGCAAACCCTAATTCAAGATAAAACAATGCATGTAAATCAACACACTTGAACACTTGCACCCTTAGGGTAATTCCACTTTGTTGCCTTATAAAAATGGCCATGTTATGCATGTGGGGTATCTTAGCAAAAGCAATAAAAAATACAAGATCATATTCCCTCGATGACGCTATCAAATTTGCCTTTCAAAAATGATCTTAGTCCCTCAAAGAGAATTGCTAAGATATTTCACAACATTGCTATCATGGCTATACGATGACCCATGCCCGTCCCTTTACATCCAAAGATAGAGCTTCTTACCAAATCAATGGTAAGATAGCAATATCAAAGGAAAGGAAGAAATGAACTAAGACTTTTGAGTAGGTAGATTGTTCCTAGTTGCTTGCTCAATTTCAAATCAAACACTCTTGCTTATTTTCAAAACAAACACCAACACTTTCAAAAACACTTTCAAAACATTTTCCAAACATGAAACATTTTCAAAAGCTTAACACTTTGTATACGTTCTTACAAACGAGAACTATTACAAAGTTTGCCTAAACGATGGCGTCTTTTCAAAATACTTTCAAAAACCACACAAAGCATATTTTCAAACAAAAGCAAGTGATCTAGCAAGCAACTAAGAGCCCGTAGATAACTATGAATGAAAAGGGTGCTAACATCTTCCTTTTTCATAATCTACCCCCCGAACTCAAGAAATAATCTCAAAGGTCTTTCCTTATCTTTTCAGCCTTTCCTTTTGGATAACAGAAAAGTCGGTGGCAACTCTTGTTAACCGCAACATTTACGATAAAACGCAAAACAACCAAGTCAGTTCTCCCATTGTATCACATAGTCCCTCGCAAATAAATTTGTGCCCCCCTGTTTTGCTAGGGGACCAGTCCCCTCACAAATTTTCTATTTGTGAGGGGTTTTTACCATTTGTGAGGGGTTAAGCCCCTGGAAAATAAAGTTTTTTGTAGTGTCAGCAAAAATAATATGTGCAAAAAGTATCATTCAAGTGACATGTAATGTGGCAAATGATCAAAGTTAAGAAGGGTACATGAGTGGTACCAATTTAATTGAAGAACTGTTCGACGTGCGGTTCTCCGAAAAAATCTTTTTAGTTAACAATAACATAATGAATCATAACAAATCATAATGTTGGTAGTTAAGAAACATATTATATAGGTGAGTGAATATCGGTGCTTGCTTACGTGTTTATAATGTAACCAACATAAGGAAGAAAATTTGGATCCCTCTATTGCTCATGGGGAAAACATCACATACAAAGGCAAACATTACAATTGTAAGAAAAAAGTTTCATATTGTTCAAAAACTATACTTGAAAGTGGAGTGAGTATAGCTCACTACTAAAAAAAACCAGGAGTACACGGAATAATTAGTACTGAAATGAATGGCCGCGAGATAGATAATACTAAAATGAATTTGGCAAGGAGAAACATAATGGCTCACAAAATGGAACTAACACAGTTCCACTATTTTCATAAATTCACTTTTAGGCAATCCTTACAGCTTCAAACACTCCTTTACATTTGTGAAACTTACGGAATGACAACATCATGAAGTATTTCAGGATGAGAAATAAGAAGCCCTTTAAGTTCTGCGGGTGTGACCTAATATAGAAGGATGAAGAATATAGCAAACAATTCAGACATATGACATGCGCAAATCAAAAATATTCTTCATCAAGTATAAACAGAAGGTTATGACATTGAATTACATACATGAAAACCTTTATACTTGATAAGTTCTTTGATACAATCATGAAACCAATGCAACATGCTAAATATCTAGAACTGTCATGTTATATTGAGATCAAATTATCACCAAAATCAGTAAATTAACACGATGATTGGATAATTCTTATTTTAAGTTCAGTACATCAAATGTTAAAGGTAATTGTGTGAAATCGTCGGTAGAACAAACCCTCATCCTTTAGCGCAAAATCGTCGGTCAAATAAGCCCTCGTCCTGTAGTTTTGTAAGATCTGTACAATATTGGTGACATATCATGTTGAAGGAAGTTTGCAAATATAATGTTACATATCGGTTGAAAGAAGTTAGAACTCATTTACATGTTTTCTTACCCACACGATCTGCTACCTGTTGAATCCAGGTTACTACGCCTATGTCGTTACCTGCCATTTTTGTTCCTTTAGGATGTCTCAAGGGAATTTAAGAGTACGCTCGAACGGGAAATTGGTATTGGTGACATTTCGGAGAAAGAGGACGAGATACAGAGAGATAATCTACTTGTGGTGGAAATTTTTGAAATTTAAATTAAAGTAACATTGAAATAAGAGAAAATTTGAAAAGAAATTAAATATGGACCAAATGACATCATCAACTCATTCTAACCTAATCATCAAAGGTTAGCTAGGCTCATTCATGGAGCCACCGAACATTTAAATAAATATCAAATTAGTTCCCCAACAATTAAAGGAACTATAGGATATCTTCCTCCCGGTAACTTCCTTATATCCCCTAATTGTTACAAAGTAAAATAATTCAAAATCGTTACATTTCTTTAATGTGTTGTAATATTCCTAAATTGTTGCAATTATTTTTTAAAAAGAGTACGGAGCAGGCGATCTAGTATCATTACAGGGAGATATCTACAATTATATAATTCTTCTATTAGAAATGAGATTTTTTTTCCAAATAATCACTTTTTTCAAAAAAAAATCCCAAATAACCACTTTTTCAAAAATTTTACCAAAATGACTACTTTTCAAAAAAAAAAATTCGCCACACAGAGGAGTAGCCACTCTGTGTGGTGCATGCATTCATTTTTAAGAGGAGACGTCATACTGCATGGTTTGTCCTCCTCTGTAAAGCCATGCAGTGTGACGCATGCATGTGTTTTTAGAGAGGAGGCGCCACCATTCTTGATTTGACCGTGTTTAAAAACACATGCATGCGCCACACTGCATAGCTTTACAGAGGAGGACAAACCATGCAGTGTGACGCCTTCTCTTAAAAATAAATGCATGCGCCACACAGAGTGACTACTCCTCTGTGTGACAAAAAAAATTTATTTGAAAAATGGTCGTTTTGATAAAAAAAATTTAAAAAATGATTATTTGAGGGGGAAAAATTGAAAAAAATAGTTATTTAAAAAAAATTCTAGAAATGATCACTAGAAAGAGACCAACAAATAACATGTTTTGCGAGAATGTAACCCTACACCAATTTTGTAAGGTGAAAATTTCAGAAGAAATTTTTAAGCTAGTGGATCAACGTTTGCTTGAGCCATTTGTTGAAGATCAGACAGGGATTGTGGAAAACAAGGTTAGGAAGTGTTTGGTGATGTTTGCTCAAATTGGAGTTGCTTGTTCGGAAGAATTTCTTAATCACATAATGTTGATAAAATATGTCATAGGTAGGTTGAATGAAATCAAATCAAATCAATGTTTCCATGATATAAACATCATTCCTACTGAAATAAGAATATAATTGTGTTCATAAGAAATCTTGAATAAAAATGTATCCGTCAAATGTTTTTCATGTGTTAGTTTGAATTACAATTTCTATGTATTACGATAATAATGTGTTTGTAATAAATTGCATTAAATGCAAGATATTGTTTGGAAATATTTGTTAGTTATATGCGTTTTTTGTTTGGAAGTTTTGGTTTGTGAAAACTACTATAGTTTTTAAAATCAATTATAGCATAAAAGTTTAAAAATAAATGATAAAAATGTGATATATAATAATATTATGAAATTTGTCATCAACGGAGCAGTCGTTGCAAGTACTTGAGTTTATTATAATGGACTTGTTTTCTATTAAACAAAACTAAGATTTGGACTCAATATAAAGAAAGATTTGCATTCCTCAAAGTTGGTTGATGGTGTGGTAGCACTTGATGAACCTATTTATTTGGCAAATAAGATAGAAAACGATTTGCCTTATAAGAGTAGATTCAAAAATGTAGACACAAGGAAAAATAAAAACTTCTTTTCCAACATATATTGACCTTAAGGTCATGTGGTCATAGTTGCATTAGCTTAATGAGTGCTTTGCGAATAATAAAATTCAAATTTTGTTATCAATAAACTTGGTAACCAATATGTGATTTGTTGTCAAGTCCTTTCCTTTGTTTTTGTCTAAGGAAATGTTGTTGGAACAGAGTACGTATAAGGTGGCAGAATATTACAACAACGAAATGTTAACTGGAAAAAAAAACTAAAGACAAAATGTTTGGCGAGGGTTTAAGCCTGCACAAATTTTGTAAGATGGCAGTCCCACAGAAGATCAGTTCGATAGCAGATTCGCAGTTGCTTATCCCATTTTGTGAAGAACAGACAGGGGTTGTGGAAAAGACAAGAGGGAGAGTTGAGTATATCCTTTGCTAGGATTGGAGTTGCACGTTCCACACAAAATAACCCGCTCTGCAGATGTGCATAAAAAATGTTATAAACAGAGTTGCATGCAATTAAACACAATTTGTCTCTCTAGGCAACAAAAGAATCACAAGTTTGGTTGCTTTTAACTGAACTATGGAAGTTTAATATTTGTCCAGCAGATCCTAACTCTTCCAACTGTAGTGTACGCAACTGATAAATATTTTAGTTCTGTAACATGACACTGCAAGGTGGAGTTTGGGCAAATAGATTCACATTTGCTTGTCTTCTAGGGTCTGCAAGTACACAGACCCTCATAATATTGCAAGAAAGAAAAACAGAGAATCACGACAATGGACGAACACTTAGGCCCGAAATAACACTTCGTAACTGCGTGAATAACATCACGGATCTTTTCAAGAAAGCAAAATACAATGATATAATTAGTCGATGATGAAACTTTCACACAAAGGCCATAGCATAGGAATGCTTGCAATGAGTGTTAGGAAACAAAATTTAACATTAAGGATTGAAGACAGCTTCTAGTTGAGGCCAGAACCAGACTACAATATCTAGAAACAAATGTTTCCTATTACTAAATTATTCCCCTCAGAAACAGACACTTGCTTTGTCTCAGATTTATCACTTTGGGAGGAAACTTAGAGAACGTTCACCTCAACAATGAGTGACGATTCAATAAGCACTTATCATATAAAACTGATGTGAAAGTTGTTTCTACTATTATAAACTCCAGAAAGCTGTTTCTAAAAGCTATTCTAAGACATGACACCGACCTCGAGACGAGTCCCGCCATGGAAGCTACAATATGTATGTATGGACGCAAGTACATACGCAATCTAAGTGTATAATAGGTTTCAATTTTAGATGTGGCAAAATTGATTTAGATGACCTCAAATAGAATAAAACACATACTCCGACAATGTTTATATTTATCTAACAACCTATTTGCAGCTTACTGTATAAGTGTTTATCATGATAAGTACTGACCTATAAGCCATTTTTATAGCAAAAATATAAATTAACTTTAAATGTTTTCCTATAAGTTGTAAGCTATTTCATAAGCTGACAATAACTTGAACAATGTGATAAGTTGTTAAGTTGTTTCTTTAACTTCTTAGTTTCACAAAACTATTCATATGAACTCTTCCAAAATCATTCTAATTGATCAAATCACTCAAGTTAAAGAACTATGAAGCACAAACACACTAGACACCGTAATGACACGGACACATCGACGCAGATAATAATTTGAAATAATTAATAAACCGAATGTAATCACAATAGTCACTGTGAGTGTCCGACTCAGACATTGACAAGTCTATTTTCAGAGGTGTCAATGCTACATGGTTTATGAAAAATCAAAGGCAAAGCAAGCAAGAGTTTACAATTTGAGAATCTGAACTATAGTAATAATAATTCATACAATTCAAGTACATAAACAGAGTTTCCTCACAACAACAACGATCTGAACTTAATATAACAAACAATATACACATCCACAAAAAACGAAAATCACCTACGGCGCGTGAATTTCATAACAAACCATCAAAGCGCGTGACCAACATTCCAATCACCGTTTCGCGTTATCGTAATCAACGATCTCCGAATCGGTAACAGATCTCGAATGCTGAACAATCGACCTTCCAACCGAGTTAATCCAATCCTCCTTCTCCTTATCAGAATCCGCAACAAAATACATCGTATCAGCGCGCGTCGAAAGCTCAAACGAATAAGCTTTATGGAGAATATCCTCAGCGCCTTTAACAGTAAGACACGACGCGACGGGGATAACGCCACGCGGTTTGGAAGCGCGCGTGATGGTGGATTCTTTGAACCAGAAGAGTTTTCCCTCTTTGAGTACGAACCAGCGGCGGCGCCAGGTTTTGATGTATTCGCCTTGTTTCATTAGCCAGCCGGTGCGTTCCGGGTTGGACCAGAATTCTGTGCCGTCGTGGTCGGTGGGGTTTTCGATTAGAGCGGTTGCTGCGCGCCAGAGGCTCGCCATTTTAGGTTGGTTTTGTGAAGAGGCTTTGGGGAAGTGGGAGGAGGGATTGGGAACTGAATTGGAACTAACTTTGCTGGAGAGAAAAGTAGTTACACCCGTGTTGCTTTGCTGGACTTACAGCACACCTATGTCTCTCCTCCTGATTTAATTATGAGTTTAAAGATAGTGTATTATTAATGTAAAATAACTTAATACAATTACAATTTTTATGTTTATATTATTTCAAAATTTTAAAAATAAAAATGAATTTTATTGTAATGTATATTTCTTATTAATTGATGGTGTAAAAACAATTTACCAGTGTGTATTTTTTTTCTCTTTAATTATATCTTTAAAAATATGATATTATTTAATTTAATAAAAATACAGGTTTCTATAAGGTTTTATCAATAAAAAAAAGTAAAAAGTTTATTTTTTTAAATTATATTTTTTGATAAATTAGAATAAAGTAATTTTTGTATGAATTAGGGGAAAAAACAACAAAAGTATGTTATTCATTGTGATAGTTAGAGTGTAATTCACTTGATTAATAGTTCTAGTTTTCATTCGAGATCATAGCACATTGATGTTAGATATCACTAGATATGTGATAGGTTGAATTTCAAGTAATTATCCCTTGAGAAAATTTACGAGTTTATAAAGAACCAATGGTTATTGAGTTTTTCTCTGCTCTTCTAGGGGTCAAGCTTAATTCAGAGTTTGATAGATGGGTTTGGAGATATGCTAGAGATGGCTCATTGCCTATGTCATATGTTTATCAAGTCCAATCTGGTTGTTCCCTTATCTCTAAGAAAAATATAGATAATGTGTTCCCAACGATTCTCGCAATTTGGGAGAGCTAGACCCATCTAAGGTGGTAGTTTTTTATTGGCAACTCTTGCAAAATAGGTTTTCTTTGAAGGAAAATCTATTCAAGTGAAAGATCCTTATTGATCTAGAGGGTACCTATTGTACCTTTTGTGGCGATCATATTGATTCGACCTCTCTTTTGTTCGTGATCTGTAGCTTAGTTTCTAGTTGTTGAGTGAGAATATGGACACAAAAAGTCTAGAAACGGTTGAATAGATCTATCCCCAAAAAGATAATTTTAAAAACATTTTAGATCTCATAAACAAAATCAGAGATTTTAAGATACACTGAAGCAAAGCACAACACTAAATAAGCTTGGAAGCTTCTCAATGAGTCAATCCAACTAAAGTATTACAAGATATCAATAAAGGTTTGATTCTTTCTAAATCAAATCAATTACAAGATAACCAAAGTCACTTTAAACAAAGTGATTTAAAAATACTTAACGTAGAAATTTATTCAAGACATAATTGAATTTATGATGATCCAATAGGTTTGATGTATCGCAAACCTAAGCTTACACATTAACTCATTATGATCAATATTTAACCTAAATGAAATATAAACAATGCAATAATACAATAGCTATAGTAATGGATACAGAAAATTAAAAGAGATAAGGGAAGAGAAAAAAGGTACACATAGATATATAGTGGTTCGAAGTTCGTTCTCGCTTTGCCTAATCCACTCTTCAATGATGTTAAAACCATTGGGAAATAATCATGATCTTCCACTTTCTTCATAAGTTTGATACAAGTATGTGATACAGTGGGAGAACTGACTTGATGTTTTGCGTGTCGATTGCACTTGTGCGGTTAGCAAGAGTCGCCACCGACTTTTCTTTTATCCAAAAGGAAAGGTAAAAAAGCACAGGAAAGACCTTTCAAGATTTTCTCGGATTCGGGGGGTAGGTTATGAAAAGGGAAGGTATTAGCACCCTTTTCATCCATGGTTTTCCATGGACTCTTAGTTACTCGTTTAGATCACTTTCTTTCATTTGATAGTGTGTTTGTGGTGTGGGCTTTGAAAGTATTTTTAAAAATCCCTTTGTAATGGTTCTCTTCTCTATAAGAACGTATACAAAGTTTTGTTTCGAAAAGTGATTCAAAGATGTGTTTGTGAATCGTGTTTCGGAAAGTGTTTTGAAAAGATGTTTTGCAATGGTTCTCGTATCTATAAGAACATATACAAAACGTTTTGTCTTTTTTGAAAATGTTTGAAATGAAAGTGTAGGTGTGAAAAGTTTTTATTGTGAGCAAGCGAGTAACTAAGAGCGAATCTATCTACTCGAAAGATCTTAAATTGTTCTTTTCTTCCTCCCTTTTAATGGTGTTATCTTACCATTGATTTGGTAAGAAGCCCCATCGTTGGATGTGAAGGGACAGGCGCGGGTCAATTTCACAATCATCTAAAGCAACTTAGGAGACGCTTTAGCAATTTTCGTAAGGGACGAGATCGTTTTATCGAAGGCAACATCGAGGGTCATCGAGGGACTACGATGTTTTTTTTTCTTTCGGAGGGTCATTGCTAGAGCGTCCCATATTCGAGAGACATGATTGTATTTCTGAGGCAACGAGCGAGGTTACCTTAGAGGTGCGCGTGTGAAAAAGTGTGTTGGTTTCAAGTTATTTCATTCTTTGATTAGGTCATCTAGCGATTGATTTTTGAATCTTGCCATACACGCCTAATTACTATACAGTATATGGAAAACAGTAAATTGCGGGAATTTGAAATTCTACGCTATTACAAAAATATTCGGGAATGGGGTACAATTTTTACAAATGGGGATGAATCAAATGAGATAGGAAGGTCCAAATATCAAACAATACAACCAAATCGAATTTTGTGCGATTTAATTAAAGCTATGATAATCCATGAAAATAATATTAACAAAATATGAAATGCTAAATATTTACTTGAAAAAAAGAAAGGTAAAACCTAATCTAAAAAATAAAAATAATTGATTAAATTAAAATCTCTATTTTTTTGTATTTTATTAATTATGTAAAATCTAAAGAAAACAAATAAACTAAATTATTATTTTTGGTGTTTTATTATATCAATTAAATTTAAAAGCAAAATTTTATTAAAGAAAGGAAATGATAAAAATTAATTTACAAAAAAAACCTAAATCTATATATAAAAAAAATACTTTATGTTTTATTAGCAAGTGTATAACAAAGAAAAGAAAATGGGAAGAAAACCAATTAAAAAAAAGTATGGGCTTAATTTGATTTGAGGAGAGGCCCAAAAGAAAATAGTTGTGTTTGCTATGACAAAACAAAGCCAGAGGGGGGTGAAACCTAGAAAAGGCGTATGGGCCTTAGGGAAATTAACAAAACAAGCCCAAACTTCTTAAGTGGCATTAGTCTCTGATTAAGGGGAGGAAACGAAAATAGGGTTTGAGACTCTTTGTTCACAGCGCCACTCTCATCTTCTTCATTCATCCTTTCCAAATTTGTTCATCTCTGTTCATCTCTAAACTATCTCACTACTCGTCCCTATTATCTTTGGCGAACGAAATCACTCTCTCCATCTTTATCTCACCATGATTCGCGTTTTTGAAAACCCTAAGTTCAGATTTAAACCTAAATACAACAAAATTGGTTTGTCTGGTCTCCCCCCCCCCCCCCCCCCCCAACTCTCATTTGCCGAAACGCTACATCTCTTGCCTCCCTAATCGAGTTTTTGAAGATCTTCTTGAAAAGGTGAGATTTTGTTCTTATTAAAGCCTAAACGATTTCATTGGTTTTTTGTCTTGTTTATGTGTTTTTCTGTTAATCCACCTTGTTATCCATTGAAATGCAAGAATTGGTTTTAGGGATTCATGAGAAAGAGGGAAAGTTCATACATGTTGGAGACTTTTCTGTAAAATGGAAAGGGGATGGTGAGATTGAGGACAGCGTTCCTTAGTGGCCGGAGCTGCGCGAGGGGAGGAGATGAGGATGAAAGCGTTGGTGTTTCTGACTCTTTGGTAACTTCCCTACTTCCTTTGAATGATGGTGATTAACAGTTTTCTGATTTTTTGGGATTTTTGCTACTGTTTTTGTTTGATGATGGCTTTAGACTTTTGGAGTTTTGGTACTGGTTCTGTTAGCTTGATGGTTAATAGTTTTTGTGTTTGTGGCTTTTGGAGACTTAGTGCAGGTCTTCATTGTGATGAGGGCTCTGTTTGAAATTTGTTAACAGTTTTGTTGTTTTGAGATTTGTTCTAAGCTTGTTACAGGTTTGAGACTTATGGCTTTTTGAGTTTTTGGTTTTGTGGATTTGTTACTGATCTTATTTTTGCTGTTGTTACTGGTTTGGCTTGAGACTTTAACAGTTTCTTTGAGTTTGAGACTTGTGTGTTCTGGTTTTTTGGGAGTTAACAGGTTTTGGTTATAGTGTTTGGTATTTGAGAGTTTTTGACAGGTTTTGGTATGTTTGGCTTTAATACAGGTTTGATGAGTTTGTTGATAGTTGACTCTGTTTTTGGTTTTAAATTAGATTTGGGATTTTGACAGTTCGAGACTTTTGGTTTTTGGTGGTTTTGTTGTTGGTTTATGTTTTGGATCCGGTTTTGGGATGTTTGGCTTTGTTACAGGTTTTATGAGTTTGGTGATTTTTTTTTATATTTGATGATGGTTCAGATTTTTTTAGACCTCTCCACTGTTCTATTGCTTCCTTCTTATTATATTCACCTTACTTCTGTTATCTCTATTCAAAATGGTGGGAAACCAACAATTTTGAATATTTTAACATATTGTCCTTATGGCTTTTTGGTGGCAGTTTTATTTTCTAGCAACTTCTATGTAACTTGTGACAGGCAGGGCAGCAGGGCTGTGCATTCCAATAACCTAGGTGACTTCTTTCCTCTCTTCTCTCTCAATGACAATAGGAAAGCAAATTGCTTTTTACGCCATTTTTCCAATTCTGAAAGGTTTGCAATGAAAAATGGAAAATGATGACTTATGCTTCTTGAACAAGCTTTTGCTTATTTGACTTAGCTATTATGTTGCCATACTTCTGCTTTGCTGCCTGCTTTAGCTTTTGTTGACTTACTTCTGCCTCGTTTTTGTTGATGCTGTTTGTTGTTATTTATCCAATTTGCGCTGCTGTTTGGGCATTCTGTTTGATTCAGTTTTGCTGTTTGTTTGGACAGTTTGCTTGCC